TTCTTTTTTTTAATGTTTATTTTTTGAGAGGCCTTGCACGTGAGTGGGAGAGGGGGAGACAGAGGATCCAGAGTGGGCTCTGTCCTGAGACCAGAGAGGCTGATGCGGTGCTTGAACTCACAAACCATGAGATCGTGACCTGAACCGAAGTCAGATGCTTAACCAAGCTGGCTTTCTTAAGATCTTCCCCAAGGTCTGTATTCAGCAGTCACTCTAAGGACTTATTTTTGTGTGTTTCAGCAAAAGTGCCCCCATTTCACATCATTTTCTCTTTAATGGGGAGAAGTCCTCCTCTCTCCTGGTTGAATCATTTTTATGAGTGCCTCAGCTGATGCCAGGGCCCCTCTTCCCTCCAGCTGAGTTTATCTGGTCATTTTTAAGACCCACTACTACTTCCAAAGTCTGAGGGCAGCCTGGACGAAGCTACCCTCCAGGACAGAACCCCCACACACTTTTAGGAGGTGCTTTTAAGGCAACACGCCATATAATTTTGTTTTAATTTTTTTAATGTTTATTTTTGAGAGAGAGAGACAGAGCACAAGCAGGCAATGGGCAGAGAGAGAGGGAGACACAGAATCCGAAGCAGGCTCCAGGCTCTGAGCTGTCAGCACGGAGCCCGACGCGGGGCTCGAACCCATGAACTGCGACGTCATGACCTGAGCTGAAGTCGGACGCTTAACCGAGCCACCCAGGTGCCCCCACACCATATAATTTTTAATTTTCACGTTTATGAATTGATTTTAACGTGCCTAAAGAAAGTAGGGAACCCGTGAATTTACGCCTTTGACATATTAAACTGTTTCCTCTTTGAATAAATTTAAATTTAGAAAAGGAATTGATTTGAAGCAATACAGACAGACTAAAACGTCAGATGTTTGTAGGTATTTGAAAGCATATGAAAGCATATGAGGTTTGAGAATCTCTGCTTCAGCAGATTCCAGAAAACAGGGGCTATGGAGTCTCAAGGAACAGTGCGTCCTGTGAGGAAAACTCACATCCTTTTCCTGCAACCTTTAAATTATTGAAAAGAAACATAAAAACAACTCCAGGGTTTTTTTTGCATTTGTACTTTGTGACTTATTTTGCATATTGGTCTTAATATCTTATAATAACTTGCTTATTTTCTTTAAATATGTGAATTTATCTATTTGCTGTAATTTTAAAGTGATTTTTATAACATTCTGGGACGAGCATTCTTTTTCCTTAAGGAACACATTTTCAATGTTATAATGAAAGCCAGCTGAAATATACAATTCTGCATATAGAAAATTACCTTAGAGACAAAATTCAATATCTTTTACTTCTAAATGAGTTGCATTGTTATTAAAAAGTAACCTTATTCAATTGTGTTTATTTCCTTATTTTACACTCCCTCTCATTCCATATAGATGTGAGACAACCCTAGAAAGAACACATATGATAAAATAAAAATTTTTAAACTAAGACTGGACATTAAAAGTAGGAAGTCAAGGGGTGCCTGGGTGGCTCAGTCAGTTGGGCGCCCAACTTTAGCTCAGGGCATGATCTCATGGTCTGTGGGTTCAAGCCCCGCATCAGCTCTGTGCTGACAGCTCAGAGCCTGGAGCCTGCTTCGGATTCTGTTTCCCTCTCTCTCTGTCCCTCCCCCACTCATGCTCTGTCTCTCTCCGTCTCTCAAAAATGAATAAATGTTTTTAAAAAATTAAAAGTAGGAAGTCAATGTGGGGGAAAGTAAAAACACAAATATGCAGGTCCTCCAGACCCAAGTGGTTAATGGACTATAGTTGAGTTTCTAATTTGACTCTGAGCTCCCTGGCAGCTAAAGAGAAAAAAGACGCTGCACAACCTTTTCATCATTTTCATTTTTGGGGAAAAGGAAGCATGTTCATTTCCTCAGGGAAAGCAGAGCTTTTCCCAGGATTTAGCAAAAGATGAGATTCATCAGTAACATCCATCGCCACACAGTACAATTCTTTTATTTTGATGAGAACTTTTTTTTAAGTTTTATTTATTTTATTTATTCCTTAAAAACAGGAATCTCGACACCTAGCATGGGGCTCAAACTCACAACCCCAAGATCAAGAGTCACACCCTCCTCTGTCTGAGCCAGCTGGGCACCCAAGGTGAAACTGATTAGGATGGAGGGAGCATTGCATGATATAATGGATCACGCCCTTGACGTTCCTAGAGCATAAAGAACAAAACTCCTCTGACACCATCAAAGGTAAGCTAGCCACATCGTTTTCCATAATTCTCATCTAAAGTCCTTAGAATCAGCCCTGTGTGTATATAACGCTACACTTAAAAGTCTCTCTTTGGGACATCTGTGTGGCTCAGTCGGTTAAGTGTCCGACTTCGGCTCAGGTAATGATCTCACAGTTCATGGGTTCAAACCCCGCGTCAGGCTCTGTGCTGACAGCACAGAGCCTGGAGCCTGCTTCAGATTCTGTATCTCCCTCTCTTTCTGTCTCTCAAAGATAAATAAACATTTTTAAAAAAATTTAAGTCTCTCTTTGTAACCAACCAAAGTGTTTTGAGACATTAAACTGTTGATACATCAACTCTTCTCAAATTTATACTCTCCTAGCTCCTGGCTTATATATTCAGTGCCTCCCATACATCTTCGCTTGGAGTCTAATGGACATTTTATCATTTTTGTTAATGTTTGTTTCTTTTAAGAGAGACAGAGAGGGGGTGGGAGAGAGAGAGAGAGAGAGAAAGAATCCCAAGCAGGCTCCACACATAGCACAGAGACTGACACGGGGCTTGGTCTCATGACTGTGAGATCATGACCTGAGCTGAAATCGAGAGTCGTATTCTTAATCATCTGAGTCACCCAGGAGCCCCTAATGGACATTTTAAATTTAACATGACCAAAACTCCAACTCTTCCCCCCAAAACTGGCTGCATCTACAACCTCCCACTCTTCATTGATGGCAATTCCATCCTCCTATTTGAGGATGCCAAAAGCCTTGAATCCCTCCCATCCCTCATCTGATCCGTCAGGAAATCTCATGGTTCCACCTTCAAAGTACATCCAGAATCTGACCATCTTCTCACCACCTCTGCTGTCACCGCCACACATGAGCCACCAATAATACTCACCTGCGGTACCCAGTTGCCTCTTTTTAAAGTGTCTTTGTTTATTTTGAGAGAAAGAGTATGTGGGGAAGAGGGGCAGACAGAGGGGGAGAGAGAATCCCAAGCAGGCTCGGTGCTGTCAGTGCGGAGCCTGAAGAGGGGCTCAAACTCCCAAACCGTGAGATCATGACCTGAACCGAAATCGAGTCAAGCGCTTAACTGACGGGGCCACCCGGGCGCCCCTAGAAAAGAGGTTCTTAATCTATTTCTGTGGTGTTCTAGAAGACTATGAAATTACTTTCAAACTTTTTCCAAGGAGGGTCCCTATAGCTTGCACCAGGTTGTCAAAAGATACCTCTAAAACAGATCAAGAACAACTGATTCAGGAAGAAGGGAAGTTTGGGCAGGTCAGTTTGAAGGCCAGAACCCACAGCTGGTATTAATTAGGGACTAAAGGCTAGCAGGTGAGTCACTTCACCTCGCTTCCTCAGGATCCTCACCTATACATTGGGCTTGCAGTGGGGATCAACCTGGCAGGTGCTCTCTACACTGGCAAGCACTCACTTAGGAGAGCTGAGCTGGCCAAGGAAGGGTGTGCCTCGCTCACCTGCACAGCCAGCGCGCCATCTAGTGGGCACAGCGGGCAGTCCAGACAGCTGGCACACCTCTGGCCCTCCTGGGTCCCAGGCAGCAGCTGGCTGGGAAGGTTTAAGGGGCTCCAAGTCTGTGCAAACCGTAGAGCAAGACAGGCCTTTTGCCTTCCCTGCAGAGCAGAGGGGAACTATAGGGGTAGGCTTCCTGGGACAATCTTTCTGTCCACCCGTATCTCTCTGGTTCACAGGGACAGGACTGGGCAAGAGAAGTGAGGGAGGAAATTGACTCAGCACAAAACTTAAGGGAATGCCAAACGATTCAGTAATCAAGTTATCTTCCTGCAATGTTTTAGAAAATCTAATGCAAAAAGGATCTATGATGAACAAAATAGCAAATGCTCAAATATAAACAGGATCGGTTTTCCCGATCTTTCTATCCATCTCAGGCTTCGGTAGTGCTCCCAGGGCATGTTACAGATCCTGTGCCTCATCAGCCTGGTCTTAGGAGAGCCCCGGAGGGTCAAAAGGCCCCTGCCTGCTGCACCAGCCAGGTGACCAGGCTGAGCCAGAGCCTGGGTCCCGCAGCATACCATAACCAACAAATGCATGACCCTTGGGCACCTGGATGGCTCAGTTGGTTAAGAGTCTGACTTCGACTCAGGTCATGATCTCACAGTTCGTGCGTTCGAGCCCCACGTCAGACTCTGTGCTGACAGCTCAGAGCCTGGAGCCTGCTTCAGATTCTGTGTCTCCTTCTCTCCCTGCCCTTCCCTTGCTTGTACTCTCTCTCTCTCCCTCAAAATAAATAAACATTAAAAAAAATTTTTTTAATTAAAAAAAAATTGTATGACCCTGGAGAAAATGGCAAATTTCAGCCCCAAAGGGGACTCTTCATTTAGATGGGGAAGGATACTGATTCAAATTCTTTCTTCATGGGGTGACTGGGAGGCTCAGTTGGTTAAGCGTCCAACTCTTGAATTCAGCTCAGGTCATGATCTCAGGGTTGTGGGATCGAGCCGCACATCATCGAGCCCCACCATATTGGGCTCCACGTGGAGCCTGCTTAAGATCCTCTGTCTCCCTCTCTCTCTGCCTCTTCCTCTCCCCTGCCCCCCCTCTCTCTATAAAAAAAAAAAGAGACAAAAGATCTCTCTTGAGTGATGGAGGGAGGCACAGAACTAGGGGCTGACCCTGCCTTCAAGGGGCCCACCATCTTTTAGCTGAGACCATGCATGGACTGGAGAGCAGAATATGAGAAGATTATCCGGTTAGACTTTGAAATAACAACAGGGTAACACTTTACTGTAGCAAAGTGACAGGATGACCCCTGAGGACTTTCCCTGCCCTGAGATTCTCGGTGTCTCCACAGATAAGTCATTGCACAGAGTTAACACTCATGGACTTGGTGTCCTTCACCCACTCCGCAGAGGCGCAGCCAGGGTGGTAGCATTTCTCTCCAAGGCAAACAGAGCCGCCTCCTTATCTGTCTGTGTTTACTGATGATGTCACATCCGTCCGGGTGTCCTGATCCATGTGACTCAAGGGTGAGCTGCTGGTTAAGGTGAGTCATACCTTGACCCACCCAACTAGGCAAGAATCTGGCTCCAGGAGGGACCCAGTCACTGGAGGACTAAGCTGGATGAAACCCTGCAGATGAATCAGAGCGTCTGACACAAGGAATGTCAGCGAAGGGGCATCCCATTTCCCTGTGGCAGCTTCTGTCAATGCCACGTGTGTAAAGCTCCCAGTATCTCATTGCAAAGTCAGGCCAGGAACAATGTTTTCAAAAGGCAGAGAGGGGAGAGGGGCATGGCATGGAAAGCTGGGCCAAACCGGGTTGGAAAGAATCAGGTCACTGAGACCTGAGATTTGAGTGTGGGCCCAAATGCCAGCAGCCTGCCCCACTTCTTCCAAAGTCATTTTCTCCAAATGGTGGCTTGGGAGCCACAGGGAGGCCCCAGGTCAGACTCTTAATGAACCGAACCACCCAGGTGCCCGAGGGTCAGGCAACTGTTGGTTATGGTAGGCCGCTGGACCCCAGGCTCTGGCTCAGCCTGGTTATCTGGTCGCCTTCTCTACCATCACTACTGCTAAAGATCAGTGATTTGGTTGGCTGGGTGGGCCAGCAAAACAAGTGACAAATCAGAAAGTGTTCACTCTTCAAAAAGTAATAGTAATAATAAAACTTGAAATACGCCCGCAAGGTAGTTGTACAGCCCTCGAGGGGTGTGGAAATTCCATGTGACTTTGCAACCAGGCTCTGGAGCCTGAGGTGGGAGGTGAAAGAGTAGGCCGGCCCATCCCAGGGTGAGCCGCATTCTGTTGACAGTGAAAGGGAATGATCTGGAGATCAAAGGCAGCTGTGAAGGGGACTGGGTGGGCAAGCCGCAGCCTCAGAATAGGGACGCATGTCCTTCCCTCTGCCTCCACTAAGACAGCTCCAGCCGGGCCTCCTCCTGGCCAGCAGCCCTAGCACCGGTGACTTCCTGGTCTACGCAACTGATTCTCCCTCCTGTGTATTCGGTGGGGAGCCTGGCGAGGTCGCTGCATCTCTGGAGAAGCGCCGTAAGGGAAAGCATGGCCCTCACCGCCCTCAGGGTCCCCTGGAATACTGTCTGCCCCCATTCCTATTGATTAGGACACACAGGTCCAAGAACGTGACGTGACTTGCTCCAAGCCACACAGTATCCGTTATCACTGAGACTAGAAACTAACCTTCCCGCCATGTTGGGCACACTGTTGTTACCCCCTATCACATTCCAATAGCAGCGGGAGACCCTGGCCGCCAAGTCGCAACGGGGACAGGCCCAGGAGCCCAGGCCTACCCTGAGGTCAGGCTTACTACAGCCTTACGCTACAAGGCATGAATTCTGCTCCTCTTTCCCAGCTGCCCGGGGGAAGGAGCATGGCGTCTGCCTTCAAGAGTCTACTCAATAGCCCAACAGCCAGATCAAGCAGAATAAAAGGAAATGCAGACCCCCAGATATCTTGTCTGCTTAATATCAAAGAACCAAATGTTTTACAACCCAAGGATCTTTGAATGATACTTTGCACCAAAATCCCATCTCCTTCTGTGTTTGGAAGAAAGCCACCGATACAGAGGGAATCTTCCAAGAGTTATGAACTCAATCATAGGCCAAGAGATGGATCACCTTTTTAACTAATAAAAACACGCGAATACTTTTCTTTTTGTGGCCTCCGAGGATATTGTCATTGTCGTTGCTTTGTGGGAGCAATGACTGCCTTAAAAGCAAAGTGGATGATTTATCTCTAGAAGGCTTTTATTTGCCAACTTTGTAAAATGATTCAGAAATGTATTTCTTGGAAAGTGGGCGTAAAATCACGTTCTTTGATTAAAGTAAAAGTACTTTTAAAAAGTGGCTTAAGGATGTAAATTCACAGACAATTTTCTAGGATTTTCCAGGAGAGTCCCGATTTTAATATTTCCTGCTTTGGTCTCCATAATCATATTCTTATTTGGCAGTCCCCAGATCTTTCGGCTTTATTTCTAAAATATGGTCATCCTCCAAATGAAGACATTTAAATGTATCAAAAGTTTCAAGAAGCGCTTTCTCATCTTTTGGATTTTTCGTGTGAAGATTCGTTATGTTTGCATAGGTTGACTTCAACACAATCACAAATTTTCCCAACTTTTATATTATTTTTTAAAATTGTTTTTAGCATTTATTTATTTTTGAGAGAGAAGGAAAGACAGAGTGTCAGCAGGGGCAGGGGAGGGGCAGAGAGAGAGGGAGACGCAGAATCTGAAGCCGGCTCCAGGCTCCACGCTGCCAGCAGAGTCCGACGCGGGGCTCAAACTCATGAACCGCGAGATCATGACCCGAGCCCAAGTCGGATGCTTAACTGACCGAGCCACTCACGTACCCCTAATTTTCCCACATTTTAATTACAATATGTCACTTAGGGATGCTTTCAGCTGTAAAGAACAGAAAACTCAGGGCTCACATGCTGTCAGGGACCCCTTCTCTCTCTTTCCACACACCAAGCTCAATTTGTTGACACCCAGTCTCATTCGTTGCTTGGAGCTCACAAGATGGCTTGCATGAACATCACATCTGCTTTCTAGGAAGTTATTAAGGGGTCAAGCAAACAATTGCCCAAGCCCCAACTATTTTGCCTTTTACCTTCTCAGTAGACCTTTGTTCATTTCCTTTGTCTCTTTGGCCAGAACGTTGTCTATTTTGTCACTCCCCATTGCAAGAGAGACCAGAAATTCAAGCTTCTTGCTCTCTACACCCTATAACAGAAAAAGGGGGTGGAGTATCTGATGTCATACGCCTGCTTGTTGTTTTACCAAGGCTACAGTAACTGCAGCCTTTAAATATCTCTAAATACAACAGATAATGCATGGGATGTATGATTTTAATTGGGTGAGTGCATCCTTTGAGAGCATTAAAATAGTGAAGCTCTTTCCACCATGGATTTGTGACTGCTACTTCTGGGCCCAGAGTACTGCCTGACATCATAGCCAAACGCATGCTTAAAGTTTTATAGCGATCAGATACTAATGGGACATTACAAACTGGCTTAAGTGGCAAAATCTGCCTTTTGGACTCAGCAAAGTTCCCATTGATTCTTAAGCCTTCTTTTGCTTCTTGGTCAATGTCAATGTTAGGGACATTTTTAAAGAAACACGTAATGACTAGTCAAGGTTTTTGCTTAATTATTTATAATTGCACGCATTTGCCTAATGGAAATTTTCATTTTATGCTGAATTTCAAGATCCTCGGGGCTAATACTTCCCCTTTTAGCGAAACGGTTGCATTCCTTCATCATTTATTGCTCTCTTGGATCCATGAAAACTCAGAGTCAGAGTGGTGGGACACTGATAGACCAAGAGAAAGGTTACAGACGGTCTGAGCTGTTCTGGAAACAAATTCACTAGAAATGCCCAGGGCCCGGGGTTGAAGGGGCCCGAGTGGTGAGGTGGCAGCTGGAAGGCACGTGGACACAAACATGGGTGTGTAATCAGATGGAGATGCAGACAAAAAGTTCATCCGAGACAAGCCTTTGCTCTCCCTGAAAGAAAGCGTCCAAAGACAAACTGTCCTAGCTGGAAAGATATTCCCTTCTGTTCCACCCCCTCAGCACCCCCTGCTGTTCATTTTGGGGAATTGCTTGACAATCCTGTTTGCCTTCTGGCTTCGTTACCATGGCCGCAGCAACAGGGGAAAGGACAGGAGAATTGTCTATCTGGTTCAACAGATCCCTGTCAAAGCACTTCAGAGTATCTTTTCCCAAGTCTTTCCTCCAAGAAAAAGCCCCAACTAAAGGTAAAATTGTTCCAGACCTTACTGCGCTTGTCTATCGAGATAAAATGTTGGGCACGCTGTGCAAGAATTTAAGTCTTACCGAGAGGAAATTTGCAGACATGGTCGATGTTTGGCATTTGCTAAATACAGAAAACAAGGCTGCATGGGAAGAGAAAGTCTGGAACTTTCTCTGCTGATATTTTTTCCTTGGAAAAATAAAAGACAAGGCAAATGAAGAGAGGCCAGGCCGATCCACTTGCACAAAGGCAAACATTTCCCCGCGAAGCCAAGGCACTGAGGGGTTTTTGGGACAACAGACGAGTGTCTCTTCCTTTCCGCCCTGGGAAAAGTAAAGAATGTTCGGGTTATCTTGGCTTCGGGCAAATAGCCTCTCCTCACAGAGGCCAATCTGCACCTGGAGAATAAGACTTCAGAATAAGTGCTGTGGACAGGACTTTAAAAAAAAGAAAAAAAAAATCAGAGAATTTTAGAACTGAGAGTAATCTGAGGACCAACCACCCTAATCGGGACGTGAAAAAACAGACCAAGAAGTGGAAAATGCCTTGCCCGGTCCTACATACTGATAAAGGGAATGTGATCCTTGGCCTCCTAGCCCAGTGCTTATCACCCCAGAAGCAGCCTCAAAGGGAGACTACAAAGGCCCTTTCAGGCTTCTGGCAGACTGTACAACCCAGAATTCCTCCAGTTACAAATACTTGAAATGACATATAAAATGTAACAAAAATATTTTAACACGCAGCCGAGTTTTGGGGGGTCGGGCGAGGGGCGGGGAGAAGGCAACAACAGATGCCAAAAACACAAAGGGAAGAAAACCAAGCGCCCAGGACAGATGATATAGCAGCCCTTATGGGTGTGGAGGGGAGTGTTAGAGCTGAAAACTGGCCCAAATGGTCCGATGTTTCCAATATTATAGAAGTTCTACCTGTATAGGGACTTGGGACCTGTACAAGACGGCGAGTAGACAGTAAGACCCATTCACACAGATGGGATCCTCAGAAGACTGCATGCCAGTAAGAGAGGTGCTAGAAGGTACTTTCCGGCCCAGGGAGAGGACAGAGGAATTTGGCTTCATTGGGGGGTTTAGTAGAAGAAAATAGTATCCTAAGAGAAATTAACCCACCAAACCTATGACACGGGGCAGGGGCAGAGTCTGAATTTTATACCCTCCCTTGGTAATCTTCTTGGAGGGCCTGGCAGGAACAAATGCAAAGCTTTCCTGGAGGAACACTTTATAACCCAGGCCACGTGGGGTTTTTCCAGACAAAGTGGATCACCACGCAAGATGACCTCATAATAATTACCAGATCCACCAACGTGGGCCACGTTCGCACCAACACCGTGAAGAAGGTGGCCCGGGTCATCACTGAGAAGTACTACACATGCCTAGGCAATGACTCCCACGCCAATAAGTGCGTGTGCAAGGAGACCACCGCTATTGCCAGCAAGAATCTCTATAGTGAGATAGCAGTTGATGTCACTCAACAGATGAAGCAGATTCAGAGAGGCCCGGTAAGTGGGATCTCCATTAAGTTGCAGAAGGAAGAGAGAGAAAGGAGAGATCATTATGTTCCTGAGGTCTCAGTCCTGGATCAGGAGATCAATGAAGTAGATCCTGACACTGAGGAAATGTTGAAGCTCTTGGACTTTGGCAGTCTGTCCAGCCTGCAGGTCACACAGCCTACAGTTGGCATGAACTCCAGGACACCACGTGACTCCTTCTGCTGTGCTGCGATATCGTCAATAAACCTTGGACGAAAACAACAACAACAAATTCCCAAAACGGATAAAGAAAGTTGTGATTCGCCATGAGAGAGCATGCACAGCAAACACAACCATGGCTAAACGAAACAATAAATAACCAAACCAGACAAAGTAAAACAAACAAACAGAAATGACACAGAACTATCTGGGAGAAACTATAAAATAATATTGCAAGTGATTACAGAGAAGAAGGAATAGAAACCATAAGGAAATAACATCTGAAAAAGAAACAGAAAGACCCTATAAAAAGAGATTAGATTCATGGTTTTAGAACTGCCCACAAAGCAAAGTTCAGATCTAGGTGGCTTCCCTGGTGAATGCTACCAAACATTCAAGGAAAAATAAATACCAATTCTTCATAAACCCTTCCAAAGAACAGAAGATGAGGGAACATTTCCCAATTCCTTCTATAGGATCAGTATTGCCCTAATATCAAAATCAGTCAAAGACATCACAAGAAAACAACACATCAATGTCCCTTATGATACAAATGTAAGACTCATCAATAAAATACTAGCAAACTGAATCCAGCAATAATAAAAAGGATTATACACCATGACTAAGGGGAATGTATCCCAGGAATGCAAGGGTGATACAAAATACAAAAGTTCAATCATTGTAATACACCGAATCGACAGAACAAAGGACCAAAAAACCCATGATCATCTCACAAGACACAGAAAAAGCATTGGGAAAAAAATTAACACTTTCATTACAATACACTTGACAAACTAGGAATAGAAGGGAATTTCCTCAATCTGATAACAAGGTTACCAGATAAATACATAAAAATCAATTATATTTCTGTACATTCTCAACGAGCAATCTGAAAATGAAAATAAGAAAACCGTTCAATTTACATTAGCATCAAAAATACTTAGGAATAAATTTAACAAAAGAAGTGTAAAACTTGTACTTTGTAAAGCACAAATCACTGTTTGAAGAAATAAAAGACCTAGATAAATGGGCGGACATTCTATATTCATGGATCAGAAGACTTAACATTGTTAAGGTAGTAATACTTCCCAAATTGATCTACAGATCCAATAAGACCATATCAAAATCCCAGATCCTTTTCCTGCATAAATTAACAGGCAAATACTAAAATTGATATGAAATACAAGGCACTCAGAGTAGCCAAAAACAATCTGAAGAAGACAAAGTTGGAGGACTCACAGTTTCCAATTTCAAGACTTAATGCAGAGCTACAGGAATCAAGACAGTATAGCATTGTTGTGGTAGGATAGGCGTATAGATCAACTGAATAGAATGGAAAGTCCAGAGATAAACCCTTACATTTATGGCCAATTAATTTTTGACAAGGGCACCAAGACGACTCAATGAGGTAAAGAATGATCTTTTGAACAAATGATGCTGGGACAACTGGATATCCACAAGCTAAAGGATGAGGTTGAGCCCCTTTCTTACACTATATCCAAAAGTTAACTTGAAATGTAGATCTAAATGTAAAACTATAGAACTCTTAGATGAACACATAGGATGACCTTGGGTTAGGCAATGGTTTCTTATATGACACCAAAATCACAAGCAACAACAGAAAAAAATTTAGATAAATTGGATTTAAAATTAAATTTTTCAGGGGTGCCTGGGTGGCTCAGTTGGTTAAGCATCTGGACATGGTGCAGATTTAGTTCAGGACATGGTCTCACAGTTTGTGCAATTGAGCCCCACGCTGGGTTCTGCACTGTAAGCACAGGATTCTCTCTTTCCTCTCTCTCTGCCCCTGCCATCCCGCTTATGTGCACACATGCACCTCTCTCTCTCTCAAAATAAATAAACGTTAAAAAATTTGTATGTGTGTGCTTCAAAGGACACCATCACGGAGGTGAAAGGACAACCTACAGAATGGGAGAAAATATTTGTAAGTCGTATGTAAGAGACTCACATCCAGAATACATGAAGAACACTGGCAACTCAATAATCAGAAGATAAAATAACACAATTTGAAAATGGGTCAAAGATCTGAATAGACAGTCTCCAAAGATGATATGCAATTAAGTGCATGAAAAGATACTCAACATCATTAGCCATTAGAGAATGCAAATCAAAACCACAAGATAGCAATTTACACCCAGGAGGAGAGCCTAAGAAAAATGGACAACAAATGTTGACAAAGATGTGGGGAAATTGGAACCCTCATACATTGCTGGTGGAAGTGTAAAATGATGCAGCCACTTTGAAAAACCATTTGGCAGTTCTCAAAACTGTTCAGCATGGAAGGACCCTGCAAACGCACTCTCAGATGTGTACCTAAGAAACATAGAAACTTACATACAAATGTTCACAGCAGTATTCGTCACAAAACCCAAAAAGTAGAAATAATCCAGATGTCCACTGATGGATGAATGGATAAGCAAAAGTGGTATATGATGAAATATTGGAATATTATCCAGCAACTAAAAGGAACTCAGTCCTGATACATACTACAACATGGATGAATCTTGAAAGCACTATACTAAATGAAAGAAACCAATCACAAAAGACCACACATTCTATGATCCCATTTGTATGAAATGTTCAGAGTAGACAAATCTACAGAGACAGAAAGTGGCTCTAGTGGTTGTATAGGACTAGGAGACAGGGTTGAAGGAAGATGAAGACTAACAGCTAATCATTACAGGATTGCTTTTGGGGTGATGAAAATGTTCTAAAATTGAATGCCCAACTTCACGAATAACCTAAAGACCATTAAATTGTACATTTTAAATAGATACATTGTATGGTATGTGAATTATAGCCCAATAAAGCTGTTTTTTTTAACAGAAAGTGATAGGTGAAAGAGAACCAAGTAGAATTATAGAAATAAAAAAATATTGAAATTTAAAACTCAATGGGCAGATTAATTACACAGGAATTTGACACAGCCAAAGAAAGAATGAGTGATGCAGAGGATGATTCTGGAAAAATTATCCAAAATGCAACACAGTAAGATAAAGACGTGCAAAATATCAAAGAGAAGTCTGATTTCTATACCCAGGTAAACTATCAGTCAGTAGAGAGAGCCCTTTCAAAACTCCAGCTCTGATTTCATTAAAAAATTAAGTGTTCGTTGGCATAAGATACAAACAACAAACTATTAAAATGTCGGTTCTGAATAGCATGTCAATACTACAAAACAACATTTTCACAGTACTTGTTAGTAATTCAGGAACAGTAGAGAAGATGGATTAAGATTTGAGCTTTCTTAAATTTGAACAAAGTTGAAAAAATTGAGCAAAGTTGAAAAGCAGAAGTGGTTCAAATGCCATTGAAGTGACAAAATTGGCTTTCACATGTATTTTATGGAATCATTGAAAGCTTCATGGTCATATAGCATTT